CCACAGCCAGGCCAGCCCTGAGAGAGCCCAAGGTGACCCGTGTGAAGAAGCTGCTCCTGGCTGGAGAAGACAAGGGCCCCAGGCCAGCCAGGCAAACTGGTTGCTAGGCAGTGGGGTTGAAACTGACCTCATCCTCCTAAGGGTATAAACAAACCTGGGGCAGTGGTCGGGGCAGTGGTTGAGCAGTTTGTTCTCTCCCCTCAGGAGAGAGGGCTCCCCCTGACCTCAGCTTCCCCCCGGGGGGGGGGGTAAAATGATTCAAAAGTTAAAGTCATGACTCAAACACATACACACTGAACACATGGTAAGGTTATTATTTAACTTATTTACAAGAGAGAAACAGTAGGGTTTAAAACTGAGTTCAAAGGAACGTTCAAAGAACCACACCTGTATGAGTGGGCAGGAACTTACAAATAGATGCTCAAAAATTCCAGGCACGGGGCAATGATCAGTTGCATTCCACTGACTCAAGCAATTTGCATTTCTGTAGGCAAGAACAGTTTGTATTATTAACAATTTCCCACGACTTCCAGGACCTTAACGCAGGTTGAAGCCAGGGAAAGGCTGAGCTTCCCCCAGGCACAGAGTACCCGGGAAGTTTTGGCCTATGGAAAAGTCTTTCTCATTTCCCCTCTACCCTCAAGAGGAAAGAGGGAAACGAAGGACAAATAAAATTTTTTTTAAAAGTACAAAAATATAAATGACAACAAACATATAAGAAAAAGTTTTTACAAATTTAAGAAATCCTAATTACACTGTCAAAATATTTAAATACATATAATGCTCATTTGCTTAATATTAGAATAATTCTACCTGTTGTCCCAGATCTCATTTTTAACATAAACTTTTAAATTTAACTAGTGTTCTATTTATGGAAAAATTGCAAAAATAGATTGACAAAAGACAAATTAACAAAAGAAAAGCTAAGAATTTATTAACAGCTCCATCGCACATGCGCGGGAGAGATTTCACGGATGGGTCAGTCTCTCAGTAAGTGGCTCCAGCGGTCCCGTATAGCATCTCCCCCACCCCCAGGGCCTTCCTGAGCTCCTGGCAGGCTCCAGCTGAGCTCCAGCTGGGATCCTCCTGTGATAGGGGTTCGGTTCGGCACCTTCTTCCAGCAGGGCCTGCCGCGTGGCAGTGGCCACTGGTCAGCGAATTCTGTGCCTTCACAGCTCTGCACGTGCTTTCCCGCGCTCTCCCGCAGCACCTTGTCAAGGCAGACGCCTCGCCGGGCCCATCACACCACAGGTGCCGCTTCACTTGCGGGACTTGTCAAGCCACCCTCTACTGGCTTTAAATTCATTGCTTATTGCACTCGAGGTAGAGGTTCTCTTGCAGTAAACCCCTGCGTTACTTCCTGATGTTTTCATAGCTCACGGCTGCACTGACCGTTTGTCCCTGAACCGCACTAAGGGAAGTGTTTCCCTCCTCACACCTGTGTCCCTGCTCGGGTAACATCATTGCTCCTTTTGCAGCATCAGCTCCTGGCGAGATTGTCACCTTCACCGTCTTGCACTCCAAGTGCAGGTCAGGCACGCGGAGAGAGGCACACCGTGCTCTTCTACACTTTGCTTCTTCCATTGAGTGGTCCTCTCCTGTCACCTCATTATCTCCCTGCTCGCTGTTCTCACCACCGTGCTCGCTCTGCACTTTCCCTGAGCCAGGCTGACTGTGTAATACTGCGCTGCACGTGCTCCACAGCAAGTGTGCACAGCTCCGTCTGCAACCTCAGCCCCACTAGAGGAGCCACAGCGACGTGTCGGAGTGGGGAAGATGGCCCGTGCGTGCTCCTGCAGGGAAGGTGGCTGCGGTCCGTTCATCATCCAGAGTGGAGTTCTCCAACAGAAGCAAAATTCTGCCAAACTGATTTGCAAACAGAAGTGTTTGTGAACTGAGGCGTTGCTCTGTATGTGCATAGTTATACGCACGTATACCATCCCTGGAAATAGTTCTACATGGTGATTTCTACTTTGTTCCAGTTAATCCTGATTGTCAACTTGATTGGACTAAGAAACTCCTGGGGGAGTGATTGGTTGTGATGGCGCTAATCTCATCAGTGTGTTGACCAGTTGTGGATTTACAGCTGAATGGGCCTCTAAGAAGTGGGGTCCCCATGGGAGAGGCATGTCAGGGGTGTGTGGCCTGGGCTGTCTCCAGTCCCTGCCCCTTCTCTCTCTGGCACTTTCCCTGCACTCTGCTTCCCAGACAGCGTTAGTAACTTCCCCTACCATGACCTATGACCTGCAGCCTCTGCCTTGGAGCCAACCGACCATGGACTGAAATCTCTGGAGCCCTGAGATAAATGAGCCTCTCCTCCTTCAAACTATAGGCACTAAGTATTTTGTCAAGAAAGTTGACCAACTGACACCTAGATCAAGAAACACAAGTTTACGCTGACGTCTTCCACACTAATCACTATTAATAATTTTACCACATCCTCTCCCCATTTCAAAATACTTATTTCATCATAATCTAATCCAAATTGTTGTTTGCAGTGTGAGGTTCTATCCATAGGTCTTGAATTTCCCCAGCATGTGGACACAGTAGGGTAGAGGATTATGGAGCCTACTGAATGGTGTCTGATTGCATTTTGTCTCTACATTTCCGTAATGAGCAATGATATTATGCAACTTTTTATAAGCTTCTTTGCCAGGCTTGTATCTTCTTTGGTGATCAAATCTTTTGCTCATTTTAAAAATTAGGTTGTTTGGGTTTTTGTTGTTGGGTTGTTATTATAGAATTTCCAAAGTATTTTATGTATTCTGGATGGAAGTCCTTGATTGGATATATGGTCTTGTCTACTTTTTACTCGTCACTGAGACAAAATACTTGATGCACCAAGCTGGGAAAGGAAAGGTTTATTTCTTACAGTTTTTGGAGGTTTCAGTCCATACTCAGTTGGCTCCAAGGCAGGGTAGCATGGCTGGGCCGCAGTTCATGGCGGATGCAAACAGAAAGCAGCAAGAGAGCGAGACACCTTCTTCCAGCCATTACATCACATCCTGGCTCCACCCTAGGCCAGTGTAGCAGCACATCCCCAGTCCAAGTGCTAGACAATGAACCAATCACAAACGCACAATGCAAATGGGTGAGGCCTGGGGGCCACCGACATAAACCATGACAAGCATGGTTTTTATCTCTCGATGTCTGGTCTCTTCATCCCACTGAAGTTTTAACTTTGATGATGGCCTCATTTCCCATTTCTTAGTTTCATGGATTGCTGCCACAAGACATCTTTACTTAATGCATATCACAACATTTTTCTTATTTTTTCCTAGGAATTTTTAATGTTTTGGGATTTAATTTAGTTCTATAGTTAACGTCAGCAGGTCTAATTTGACTTTGCTTTTGTTTTCGTTGTGTGGGCTGTAAATCAACACTGACTTCCTCACATGTGACTAGTCAGTAGTTCCAGGACAGTACGTTACAATGACTATGCCAGCCAGGCACGGGGGTGCACACCTGTAATCCCACCGAAAAGGAAGAAAGCAAGAGTGCGAGGGTAGTTCCAGGTCCTTTTACTCTATCTTGACAAGAGTAGGAGATAGATTCTTAGGGCATTTGATGAATTTCAATCCTCTGCAGCTAATTATCAGATTATTCCATCTCTATCTGTAGAAATCCCTCAGGCGGGTTCCTTCTTCTGACATGACTCTTGGCTACCTTTTTCCTGATTTCAGGCACCAGTGCCTTGGATTTGCAGCTCATCTCTAAAGAGCATTTTTTTTTTTTTGGTATCAGTATCAGGGATTGATCTCACGACTGCCTGCTTGCAAGGCAGGTGCTTATGCCGCTGAGCTAAATCCCCAGCCCCTAAAGAGCATTTTTGTGTTAAGTGTTTTTTCTTTGCTAATTGCTACTGGATGGTCATTCCCTCTAGACCTTTACTGTGGATGAGGACAGGGGAAGGTCATTTTTTACTTTTTAAAAGAAATAACCAAAAATTGGTTGTTGGCATTTCCAATTCAAACTTTAGTCAACAGCCCTTTCACTTAACTTCTTTAAAGCTTTTATTTGTATTTCCTTTTGCTTACGTGAACATCGTGGCATGCACCTCATCTATGAGCCGCCTCTCCAGGCTATTACAGCTTCTGCTCTTTCACTGCCACTCTCTTATAATCGTCTAGGTTTTAGAAGCTGTTATTAAATAAACTGCACAATACCATTTTGACTCAGAAACAGCTAATTCTGTCCAAATTAATTATGTTTACATTGAAATGACCTTTGTCTTTTCATTGTAACCCTGTGATCCCAGACTTTTTTCAGATTTTTCCCTAGCATATCTTAGGCCACCTCTGTTTTCTACCTTCAGGAACACTTTGGCTTTATGTCTGTATTTGTAAACTACAATATTTGATATTTTAAAAATCAGTACAGGGACTGGGGTGTAGCTCCATGTGCACGAGGCCCCGGGATTCATCATCAGCACCTGCCCCTTCAACGCTGACCTATATTATTTGGGGCATGCAGTGCTAATACTGGAGGATGCAGCTGTGAATAGGAGGCTGACGATCCTGGTGGGCTGCTTTTATCTTACCATTAAAAGAGCCCTTTAAAAGAAGTAGTGAGTGTTATGAAAGGAAAATACAGAGTTTAAGTTTAATGTACGTGCCAGTTAAAATACATACTGTGTTTTGGGCTTATCCTGCAGGCGGGAAGCCCTGGCTCCAACCCCAGCACTGCAACAACCACACCACAGGTGCACACACGCGCACACCTTTTGTAGGTCACAAAATTTATACATAAATCGAAGAATCTAACAATTCTACTACAACCTGACAGGAAACTGCGACGAATGGCTCGTTGCCCACTTTTTGAATACACACACTTTTCCTTCCTTAATATCACTGTTACTACGATTACGAGCAAAATGAGTACATAAAAGAGGCGCAGATGGTCGGGATTGAAAAACACGCATTCCCTATCCTTCAGCTTTATTTTCCTTTTCGGACCCCGTACCAGCTGTCTCGCAGTGACGTCTGGGAAATGTAGGCCATGAAGGATAAGCCGGGCGATCTAGACGGGGAATCCAGCGACGTTCCAGTACGCATGCGCACTTGCGCTCAGCAATTTAGTGGCGGCGGCGAGCCGTGTCCCTGCGCTAGGCGTCCAGCTGGACTCCAGCACCGTGCGCGGCTTGTAGCCCCGGCCCAGGCGGGCTAAGGTACAAACTGCCGGGGAGGGCGGGCCGGGCGCGCTGACCTGCGGCAGTGCCGAAGCCGGGACGCCGCGCTCATTTCTTGCCGAGCCAGGGCCGGCGCCCAAGCTGTTCGGCCTCTGCAGGTGGACGCGGCCGCAGGGGGCGTCGCCGGGGCGCCCGCTCCTTTTGCACCCCCGGGACCGGGCCCGGCAGCCGAGCCGCGCCTCCGCGTCAGGCCGGGCTCCCGACCGGGCCCCGGAAGAGGCTGCCGGAAGCCGCGCCCCGTTTCGGGGTCTGGGCGTCTGGGGCCGCGCTTGGCTGTCCCCGGTTTGTGGGCTTAACCTCGCCAACCCCCGCCGAAACTTTTCCTGTGAGTTCGCTTTTGTCAGTCTTTCTGGCTTGACATCGTTTTCCTCCGGTGACTTAACTGTGTCCGAGTGATTTAACTGTGTTCTTTGATCAGTTTTGCCCGCTTACAAAATTACTTCTTTTTTTTCCTCTAAATTTTTATTTTTATTATTTGGGAGAGAAGGTGCCGAGGATGGAACCTGATGGAGCCTGAGTTCTGCCGCTGAGTTGTACCTTAGCCCCCTTTCTCTGTATTTTAAATTCGTTTGTGGGCGGTGCTGTTCTTAAGCCCAAGTGCAGAAGAGTGGAATACTTATCTTTTCAGATTAATTAACATTTCTATGAGCCAAGAGTGATTATTTTCTTTATTTGTTAATGCATGCGGGTGGTTTTAATCTCTTCATTTTGTTTAACTTTACACATAATTACTGGCTGAAAACAGTAGAAAGCCACACGCAGAGCCTCTCTGGCTGGGAAGAGCCTGCCCAATGCAGCCCTGATTGGATCTGATGCCGGTGGAGTGCCGGTGGGATGAGTAAATCTGTTTCTCTCTCCACTCGAGGTGCCTTCTCCAGGAGGGACTGCTGGGAGGGAGAAATGGCCAAGAGGTTGCTGCCAGCCCAGGCTCAGGTGAGTGAAAGGTGGCCTCTTTCCTGGGCCTGCAGGGTTCAGAGGTGGCAAAGTCATTCTGTCCATTGTGAAGCAGCAGAACCTGTGGAGGGACCCGAAGGCCTGGTAAGTGGGGCGCTTGGGAAGGAAGGAGTTTCTCTGGCCTGCGAAGCGCTAGTTGACTAAGGATTGAATGAAGCCCCCTCTCCCCCCACAGCCAGGCCTTGTGAGGAATCCAGGTACCTTTTGCTCGATGGAGGACAAAGACATGGAGGAGTTAAATCCTCAGTACCAGGGGTTCAAAGAGAAACATGACATTTGCCCTCAGTAACCAAAAAAACCAAAGTTGGGTCTCCACATCTGTGAGAACTGCACAGGGAGATTGAACCAACTGCAGAGCAAAAATATTTGAAAAATACTGGTGTGTATTAAACGTACAGACATTTATTTTTGTTGTTAGTCCCTAAAATATACAGTGTAATAACTGTTTGCATCTACACTGTATTAGGCATTGTCCGGGAGGTGATTTTAAGTGCATGGGAGCACTTGCATAAGTTACATGCAGATGCGCCTTGCTTTTTATAACGGACTGTCTTAGTTACTGTCTGTCTCACTGCTGGTACAAAATACCCAACACTGACAGCTTAAAGGAGGAGAAAGTTTATTCTAGCTCATGTGTTAGAGCCCAGTCAGCTGGTGCTAAGCAGAACAGCATGGCAGAGGCACAAGACAGAGGCAAGCAGCTCCGACTAAAAGCAGGGAGAGATAAAGGAGGGGCAGCAGTCTCGCACCCTTTCAGCCACTCCTCCAGGGACCCACCTCTTCCCACCAGTCAGCTCTAAGGCCCCATAAACGAGTCACCTTTCAGAAGCCCCACCTATGAGCCCATGAAACTGTTGGGGGGCATCTAGATATAAACCATAACAGGTTTACTCATACTTTGCTTTTGGTACCTGCGGGGGTGGGGGGGGGTGGGTTTGGAACCAGTCACTCATGGATACCAAGAAATGACTACAGATTAGAGATGGGTGGTTTTCTAGAAAGACTGAAGAAAGAAACCTGTTAGTCAGCAGGATCTTTCAGAGGGCCTCCCCAGCACTGGGCAGGTCCAGCCTGGTGTAAATGGTGATTGGAAACTGGCCGGAGGAAATAGAAGTTTGGGCAGTGGTGTGGGCTGTTTCTGTAATGTGGGAAGTACTCTCCTCCCAAGGATTTCTTTGCCCTTTCTTGCCACTTAATCTGCAGCATTGATAGTTTGGGGAAGAAGCATAATTAGAAAACATTATCTCCCAACCCAGAAGACCTCGCCACAAAGGCAGAAGAAAAAGAAGATCATTTTATTCTTTAAAAAACCAGATTGTGATGCATGTCACTTGGATTCTACTAAAAAGGCCACAGAAAAAGCCCACCTAAGATGGCTGAGTGATGCCACCCAATATGTTAGGGAAGTTGTGCAGTTTGGAGTCAGGTGCGAGTCAGGCCCATTCTTCCTAGGAAAGCAGGGGCAGACTTGGGCATACTAAAATTTTAGGATTTACTTGAGGAGATATCAGGCTGGGAGTGGTTGTGAGTTTCAGCCCAAAGAATAAGAGAAGAAAGCTTTTAAATGGTGAATGGAGAAGTAGGGAACAAGTAATTCGGTTAAAGTTTCAATTATTTGGACTCTCCTCACAGGACATTCCTGATAATCCGGTTTATACTAGGTTGGTGCTTCTAATTGGCTTTCATTTATTAAGAATCTATTGTTTTGAAGATTATGCGTAGAGAAATGGCTACTGCTTCCTTGAAGAAACCTTTGATTGTGATGTTGGCCAGTGATTAAGCCATCAAAACGATTTATCTCTGAAAAGGAATTCTGAAAGAAAAGACAGGCAGGAAATGCCACTTTCTTTGTTTCCAACAGAGAGAATCAGACCACTTAAAAAAAAAAGGCAAACCCAGGGACTGGGACCCTCTTAGCTCTTAGCTCCCTTTTGCCCTGACACTTGAGGGAAGATCCTGGCCTTGTGATCTCCTGCCAGGGTTTGCAGGGCATACCTGGGGGGTGGTAAAGAGAAAGCAAGCTGTGATGTGGTGTTCTAGAAGTTGTGCTAAGGATGTGCTAAGGTGATGTGCAAGGGTGCTAAGCCCAGCATTTGCAGTGCAAACAACAAACATCCACCTGTAGATGAATCAAGCTAGTTTATCCCTACAGAGATAAAAGGTGTTGAGTTAGGGTGAGTAGTATGACATAAATTTATTTTTAGTTGAATATAGAACCGTATTTACAGGTAAAAAGTCTGTTAAGAAGGGCTGTGGATGTAGCTCAGTGGCACAGTGCCTACTTGGCAAGTACAAGGTCCTGAGTTCTATCCCTAACACACAAAAAAAAAAAAGTCTGAAAAAATGTACAGTAAAAAGTTACTGCATTTTTTGGTGGTAGAAAGGTAGATTAACATTTGTTTTTCTCTGACTTACTGGTCTTTCTACTTTGCTTTATAAAATGGTCCAGGCATGTTGTATGGTCTCTTCCAGCATAATGCATGGCTTCCCACCTTCTCTCTAAGTGAGGGAGCCAGGGTCACCTTCTAAAACTTGACTTTTTTGTCATTTGAGAAATGCAAATTAAAACAGTTCTGAGATATCATCTCACTCCAGAAAGAATGACTAGCATCAAGAAATTAACCAATAACAAATGGTGGTGGGGCTGAGGGGAAAAAGGAACCTTTCTCCACTATTGGTGGGAGTGTAGACTGGTACAGCCATCGTGGAAATCAGTGTGGAGATTCCTCGAAAAACTAGGCTTAAGAGTTCTATTTAACCCAGCTATTCCCCTTCTGGATTCCGAGAAGAATTGAAAATATCATGCCACAGTGATATATGTGTACCCGTGTTTATAGCAGCACAATTTGTAGTAACTAAGTCTTGGAAACAACCCAAATGCCCACTGAGGAATGAATAAAGAGATGTGGTATTTTTATTCAGTGGAATACCACACAGCCATAAAGAAGGATAAACTTGAAGCTTTTACAGGTAAATGGGTACAACTAGAAACCATACTCAGAAGTGAAATAAATCAGACTTGCCTGTGTAAACACTCTATTGTCTCACTAGTAAAAGAAACTGGTAGAGTAAATAAGATCCAAAATTTACAATAGTAAAAGAAATGGGAAGACACTGCTCACAGGGAAATTACATTGTTTGATCAATCTTGCATCTGGTAACCTGAACAACTATTTTGAAGATAACAATATGCAATATAACAACCATTGTTAAATTCCTATCATCTTGTTTTGAAATCCTGTATCACTGTTGTTTTTTGTTGCTGTTGTCAAGTTGCTTTGTTGGTTTTCGATTGTTTGCTTTTCGATTTTTTCTTTTTTTTCCTCTTTAAAAAAACCCCCCAAAACCCCTGACTCTTGGTGTCTCCGATGAGCCTTGGCTGGCTGACCCAAGCGCTCATGGACATTTCCAAGTCTGAAGTTCTCTGTGCCCCTTCTGACTTTGTTGCTCCGTCTCAAGTGTGCTTGTCATTTGGCCGCTGTGTGGGAGCTGTCGGAGGGCACATGGTAACCGAACTGCTGTCCAGAACCCCTGGCTAGGCTTGAAACACTCAGAGCCCGAGTGGGGACTGAGTTCCCTTCTGACCCTCCCACTGTGGGATGCCCCTGGCCGAGCAGGACGGTGCTTTCCGTTTCAGGAGTCGGTGACCTTCAGGGATGTGGCTGTGCTCTTCAGCCAGGACGAGTGGCTGCAGCTGGACCCTGCTCAGAGACGCTTGTACCGGGAGGTGATGCTGGAGAACTACAGCAACCTGTTGTCCCTGGGTGAGGCCTCTCCCGGGGTGCAGGTGTGCGGGAACAGCATGGGCCCTGCCAGGGAGGAGGTCTGAAGAGCTGGTCAGGTCTGGGCTCAGAGTGGCGGCTCTGCTGTTCCCACCAGCTGTGCGGAGAGATGTGCATTTTGCTGAGGTGACAGAGCATCTTTTTCCATGCTTGCCCTGGCTCCTGCCTTCCTCAGCCCCCTGCCCTGTCTCCCTGGGACCCCTAAAGTGTCCAGGTGAGGAGAGCACAGTGCCATCCTGAGACCACTGCCTGGCCATTTTCCAGGAGCTCAGTGTTAAGCCTCTGTGTAACCAGACCCCTTCTCCTGTATCCTCTGTCCTGGGGACGTCATGGCCAGTCAGATGTTCTTTTCATTCATTGCAGGGATTCTGTTTTCCAAGCCAGAGGTCATCTCCCAGTTAGAGCAAACAGAAGACAGCCAGGTGGTAGGAACTGGAGCCCTAAGAGGCTTGTGTCGAGGTGAGTGCTGGGGAAGTCGTGTGGCTCAGGGCGGGAAGCAGGGGATACTTACTGGCCGGGATGTGCCGGGCCAGGAGGGTAGTTCTGGCTGTGGTGCTGAGCTCTCTGCCTGCTTTTTTTTTTTTTCTTTTGAGACAGGGTGTCACTGTGCAGTTCAGGCTGCCCTTGAGCTCAATTTGTAGCCCAGGCTGGTCTCAAACTTGCAACAGTCCTGCCTCAGCCTCCCTAGTGCTAGGATTACAAGTGTGTGCCCCGATACCTGGCTTTCTGCTTTTGATTCCTAGATTCAACAGGCTCAGAGGGAGACATGAATTCTTACAGGATGGGTTGCACTTTTGTCAAATGCATCTTGTACTAACAGAATATGTAATGCAATGTAAATGTTTGACCTCTATACCTTTTGCTTTTTTACTTATTTTTTACTGGATTGTTCAATTATTTTACTCAGTGGTCCCTCACTTTTTCCTCTTGGTTGGATTTTTTTTTTTTTTACTTCTCAGCATCTTATTATGCATGGTTCAGTCAAAAAAAAAGCCAGAGTATATGCATGCATGAAAGAGAAGTATAGCAAAAAGGGTAGCAACTATAAAATTTAAATAGATTATAAATATTTATCATGTGATTCTTTGCTTTCCTACAAAAGTATTCAAATTTCCAGATCCTGGCCTCTATGAGGTACCACTGGTTCTCCAAAACGCCTGTGGACTGTCCGTGTTGTGTTTATCCTTTGCCTTTGGTACCAGAGGCTGGCTGTCTTGAGCTTTGCCACTTACCCAGGAGATTCTGGCAGGAGGTTGTCTTTCTTTGTTAGTTCAGTCTTAGGTTTCCTTTTAAGAACTTGATCTTCAGATTTTCCCCCTTGGTTTGATTAGAACGTGTTCATGAAGAGCGTTTTCAGAGGTGTTTATGTGTGTGATATGTGTGACTCTAAACTCATCTCTTCCCCTCCCTGGCTTGGAGAATTGTCTTTTGACATCAGTGCTTCCGGTCCTGGGGGTCCAGACTGCCTGTGGTCCCTGGCCCTGGGTGTGACTGATGAGTCAGCCTGGCCGCCTCTCTACAGTGCGGGTCGCCTCATCTTTCCTTTTTGTTTTCTGTGTGAAACCTTAGAGGATATCTTCCTTTACCTTTAGAATTTGGAAAATTCATTATGTTTTTTATAAGGGTTTTTTTCTTCCTCTAATGTCATTAGTTGATGTTTATTGGGCCTTTTGTGATTCAAGTCCTTCTTTTGGGAATTTTTTATTTCTGTTACACACTTACATATATTCACTGCATTTCACCAACAATTTGGGGAATCTGTGAGAATAATTACATAATACAGTAGAGTTTTTTTGTGGCGGGTACCAGGGATCGAACTTATAAACTCACGCTTGCCAGGCAGGTGCTTATGTCACTGAGCTGAATCCCCGGCCCTGCAGTAGAAATTTCAAGCAGAGATTTAGGAAATGAGTACACTGTCAGGACCAGAATAGTAGCTCTAGAGCTACAGATCTAGCTCTAAGCTTTCTGGTTGGCAAAGAAATCATTAATACCAAGTTGATTTGTTTTTCCAAGCATCTTAACAAATTCATTTTAATTTGTATGTTACATTTGATATTTTTAAAAGAACAGAACTAGCAGGATTGAGATTGAAGGGAACAAAAGAAGAGGACTCACCTGTAATTGAGTAAATCAACCACTGTTAATAGTGTACTGTTCTCCATCCAGACTGAGTGTATCTCTGGGAGACAGATTGAGTCTGTGTATTCTCAAGACTTATCCTTCACTGATTCAGCCTTAGGTAATTGCAGCTGATGTCTTCAAAAGCACTCTATGGTGTTGTTAAACCCTACTTAATATGCAGTCTTCCTTTTGGAAATGTGAGTTTCGTGTTTTCCCCTATTTTTAATATTGCTGAGGTAGCTATGGGAATGCACAGGTATCAGTAAAGAGGTTTAAAGAAAAAGTGCAAAGAGTAAATCATTATAATATAAAGATATGAATGTTGTGTTTGAGAATACAAGGACTATGAACCCAAAACCTTCAAAGGATATTTTGAAAAATGTTTAACTTTGTTATAATCAATGAAATTCCAACTACAGTCCTGAAATACTATTTCCCTTTACCAAATAGTAAGAACTGCATGTCTAGTGTTTTAAGACATGCAGAGCAGTAAGCTGCATCTTTCATGGGATTTTGAGTGCACAGTCTTTCCAGAGGCCTGGCTTTGTTAAAAGCAGGTCTGTGCTGAGCACAGTGGCACAGACCTGTAATCCTAGCTGCATACTGGGGAGACTGAGGAGGGAGGATTTGAGGCCGGCCTGGGCAGCTTAGCAAGACTGTCTAAAATTAAACAAAGCAAAAAATACGAATCAAAACACAATGATAGTATGTTCATAGAATGACACAGTAGAACAACCACACAAATGGTGTGACCTTAGATTTACTGACACTAAAGTTTAATTTGATGTTTTTTAATCTTAAAATAATTCAATAATTCTATCAAGTTGCAAAGATATTGCAAAAGAGGTTAATTATGACTAGTGAGATAATAGGTACAAAAAGAAGTTAAATGACTCAAAAAGGAACTTACTAAATGATATATGTGTACTTTAGACATATGTATTTTCCTTCATTTATTGAGATGTTGAGGAGGGGCAAGGTGAGGGAAGTTTAGTTTCGATCCATTTTTATTTTGTATGTGAAAGTGATTTTACATACAAAAACATTGTGTTGAGTGAAATCTCATCCCGTGTGATTATAGTTGTGTGATGTGCTTATGGGTGTGCTACATTTTCATTTTAACTCTACTAGTTATCTTGTTGCTTGACAAAGTACCCAAACTTACAACTGAAGGGAGGAGAGGGTCTCTGGGGCTCACGGTCTCAGACGTTTCAGTCCATGGTGGCCTGGAAAGCAGAGCACGAGGGAGCAGGGCCGGGGAGGAAGGCAGCAGGGAGCAGACCCAGCGCTCAGGCCCGCGCCTTCACAGCCCACTCAGACGCACTCAGAAATGTTCTTTACCGATCTCAGCCCAGTTAAGGTGACAGTTCAGCATATGTGTCACCTGTAGCTTTATGGGTTAATTTTTAAATGGTTATATATTTCTTTTTTAGTCAAGAAAACAAATGTCTTTCATAAAATTCACATTTCTTTTGAATCAGCATTATTTCTCGCAGTGTATCCTACAAAATCAAAGTGGGCAAAAAGAGTATTTTCAAGTGTGTACTCTTCTGATGTTTCCAGCATCTAAATCTCCATTGAGCTGCCCAGGCCATAAGCCAGGGCTTACCCTTGAGCCATGGGTTCCCTTTCCTCTGCACAGTCTCCACAGCCCATTGAGTTGTTAAACAGTCTTCCTGTTGGAAATTTTAGTTTCCAGCTCTGCCCTATTTTTAAAATTGTTGCGATAGCTTTGGGAATCCAAAGGATAATACCAAGTGCAAACGTCCAAAGAGTAAGTGACTGTGTAAAGGGTGTGTTACGGTGGAAAGCCAGTGCCTAAAACATCCCACATACGCCCACCCCTCCTCCACTGTGCACCTGCCCTCGTTCTCTTCTCCACTTGTCACACGATGAAAACAGTTCTTTGAAAACGAAAACCATGTGTTGTTCCGCCAGCGATGTTCAGAATGCTTTCCAAACGCTGCCTCAGTCCCCTGCGACTCGCTGACAGGACCTTCCTTTCCCTGTTAGCAGCACTCTGTCCTCTCTGCGTCAGCCGCCCCAGATTTTTTCTCACGCGGTCTGGACTACCGGCAGCCTAGTCCTATCTTAGGGCCTTTGTGGTTTCTCTTTGGAATCATCTGTACCCACAGCTTTGCTTGTCCTGCTGCTGTTAGTTAGATTTTATCTTGAAATGTTACTCCCTTATCACCCATTGTAAATACCAACTTGTTCACTACTATTACACATTGCTTTTTGTTTGTTGTCTTGCAATTCTTCTCAATCCCTAGTGCTTCTGTGTTGATACACTTGCTCAGTCATTATTGGTATCTGACTATTAGATTGTAAGCCTATAAGAGTTAGCCCCTGTCCGCCCTGTTCCCTGTTGTTCCCAGGGTTCCATCCTTTCTTTTTGTAGGTGGGCACTCCGTGAGTGTTAATGGAGTGACTGTCCACCACATGATTCGTAGCACTCTGTTAAATCCCACTGTTGCAGTACTCAAACCCTACATTGCACACAGCTGTGTGGGGCACTTATTTTTAGAACCTCTGCAGTTTTCCCTACGGTATACTGTAGGTGGTGCGAAGTAACCAGAAGCTCTACCCCGGGTGCCATGCTACTGCTGACCTCCTCCTCTTGGCAGAGCTTCCCTTTGAGTTCCTCAGCCCCCTGCATTAGGGTCCTGTGGCACCATCCCACTCGTGCATTCTGTCAATATGCTTCATTTGTTAGAGGCCTATTCCATCATTCCGTATGATTTCAAGGCCTATTTATTACCTATACTTGAGTATTTTGATGTCATTTTCTGTTATTCCCAGTGCAAGGAGACTTACATATTTTATTTACTTTAGGATGGGAGAGCTTGTTTGAAACCACCATTTCCAAAGAAGCAAACCAGGAAGCCATGAAAAACTTCCTAATGGATAGTCCTTTGAACTTTAAGTTTGGAAAAACCTACATCAATGAGGACAAGTTGGAGAAGCAACAAAGTAGAAAGAACAAACTTCTCAGGAAAGTATTTATTACCATCCAGAACACGTACATGAAAGAGAAGAGCTTTAACGGTATTGAACATGGGAAAACCCTTGATCCCAAACCATCATCATTTTCTAGAAAGCCTGGACTTGTTTCCAGAGGCAGGAAACCCCATTCACAGCAGTATTCAATCCTATTTAAACAACTGGGAGTCAACGCAGTCCGTAAGTGTTATAAATGTAATATCTGTGGGAAAATCTTCCTTCATAGTTCTTCCCTTAGTAAGCACCAGAGGATCCACACTGGAGAAAAGCTCTACAAATGTAAGGAATGTAGGAAGGCCTTCAGCCAGAGCTCATCCCTGACACAGCACCTGAGAGTGCACACCGGAGAGAAGCCGTACATATGCCACGAGTGTGGGAAGGCCTTCAGTTTCACCACCTCTCTTATTGGGCACCAGAGAATGCACACTGGAGAAAGACCCTATGAATGTAAGGAATGTGGCAAAACATTTAAAGGTAGCTCATCCCTTAACAATCACCGGCGAATCCATACTGGAGAGAAGCCCTATAAATGTAACGAGTGTGGGAGAGCCTTTAGTCAGTGCTCATCTCTCATCCAGCACCACAGAATTCATACTGGAGAGAAGCCGTATGAGTGTAGTCACTGTGGGAAAGCCTTCACTTCAATATCACGGCTGAGTAGACACCATCGCATTCACACTGGAGAGAAACCCTTTCACTGCAACGAATGTGGCAAAGTGTTCAGTTACCACTCGGCCCTTATCATACATCAGAGGATTCACACTGGTGAGAAACCATATGCATGTAAGGAATGTGGGAAAGCCTTTAGCCAAAGCTCAGCACTTATCCAGCATCAGAGAATCCACACTGGAGAAAAGCCTTACAAATGTGACGAATGTGGGAAGGCCTTTTCCTGGATCTCACGGCTTAACATACACCACCGAATTCACACTGGAGAGAAACCGTATCATTGCAAAGAGTGTGGGAAAGCTTTTAGTTCCCACTCAGCAGTGAATACTCATAGAAAAATTCATACTGGAGAGAAACCTTATAAATGTAATGACTGTGAAAAAGCCTTCAACCAAAGCTCAGCCCTAATTCAGCACCAGAGAATCCATACTGGGGAGAAACCATTCAACTGTAAAGTGTGTGGGAAAGCTTTCAGGCAGAGCTCATCCCTGATGACGCACATGAGAATTCACACTGGAGAAAAGCCTTACAAATGCAAAGAATGTGGGAAAGCTTTTAGTCAGAGCTCGTCTCTTACTAATCATCAGAGGACTCATAACTGAGAAAAACACCATATGAGTGAAATGCATGTGGGAAATGTTCCAGGTGAAATCCATTCCATACTAAGTATCAGCGAGTTCATCCTGGAGAGAAGGTGATGAGTAGTTAGGTAATTGTGGGTAAAATTTTATAATTAGACCTCATCAACAGACACTTCATGCAGGATCACTTTGTGAATACTAAGGACGCATCCATAAAGTGTTTCTCATATGTTCTTAAGTTATTACTGTTTGTAAAACAGACTCAGATTGGAAGAGCAGCATTTTACTTTCTAGTGCTGCGTAACAGCTGCCAGCTTTCACAGGCAGCATTGGAAAATGATCTAGGTTAAAGTGCAGCCGGAAAATAAGTTTGGGAATTTATTTTTTGAAACGGCATCTAGATCTTATGCAAGCCAGTTATACTAGAAAGAATATTTGGAAAAAGAGAGATGTACACAGGTAACTGTCTACCTCACTGTCACTAAAATTTGTTTTTTACTATTTTGAAAACAAATTATATACTTGGTGGTTATTAAAATGTTAGGTCACTTCTGCACTCTAAGCCATTCATTTGAGAAGAAAATCACTCTGAACTATGCAGGTACACCACCCTTTGTGGTTTTTTCCTATGTGTACCAACCTCTGATTTAAATCTAAAGTCACTTTGTGTTACAGTTTTAGTATTTAATCTGTCTTTCTCAGAAAGTGATTACCTTTGCTATACTACAGTTAAAGATAATGCAGATGACTTACCACTTGCTGTTTAATTTACTGATAAATGTGGGAATTAGAAATTATCTCACAAGGAACGAGATCTTCAGCTCCCACAGTGAGCTTACTCCCTCGAGCTCTCTGGTCACTGGTCATGGAGATGACCAGGAACATATGGAGCTCAGGTTGTCCTCCCAAGAGGTGGAGTTAGCCAGATGACTCACGCCTGCTGTCTTTGGCTGTCTCGTAAAGCTCCATACCGTTCTATGCTCTGAAGGCCACTGGGTAGAATTGAGCTTTATGTTCAGATGCTTTTTCCCCTAAATAATAATGAACTAATATCCTCAAACAAGTTCAGCATTTGTAAAATGTAAATCACCATATTAGCTAGAAAAGTTATATCCCAAGTCTAATAAAATTGTTGAGCTTTACAGAAAATAGTATCTAGTTCTGCAAAATTTTCAGTAGAGCCGGAGATTTAACTCACCGGCTTAAGCACCTGCCTGGCAAGGGCGAGATTGTGAGTTCAATCCCTGGTACCTGGAAAAAAAAATTGCAGTAGGCAAATACTCAAGAACTCAAACATTTTATAAAATGCTAGTTTCTTTTGTCTTGCCTGGGAGTTTAAAAAGAAAAGGTCATAGTAGCAAGCAGAACAAAACTGATTACATTCATTTTACCTTCAGGGGATAATGGGTCTCATTGTTTCAGACTTACAAGAACATACTTTCTGGCCATTTAATAATCTAAGGTCCCTTTTCCTACAACTCTTCTTTTACATTCTATTATATTCCCTGGCAACTCCTAGGAAAATATAACTTCCCAAGTCTGAATAATCTCCAAATTACCAAAAGAGTTAAATCTGGGTTAAAATCCCACAAAGAAAACAGGTCCCATTTTTAAGGGAGGGCCTACCAAACTTTCAAGTAAGTTTATTCAAGTCTTCTGCAGAATCTTCCAGAGAAGAATGAGGCCAAACTCACCTAGTACTAAAATCAGATAAGGATGGTGGAGGAATAAGATAGCTTGCTGCTGTTATCTTTGAACAAGAGATGTAAAAATCCTAAACAAAACTTAATGTATAACTTCATGATAAATATAACACTTTTAAAATTGAAAACCAACAGAAATAGTAAAATGTAAAAAGCATTTGTGACAAAGACATACATGGAGAAGAACTGAAAGGAATATGGAGAAGAACTAACTACATGGCAGTGCTGAGATGCAAAAGTGCAGGGAAGGATTTTTTTTTTGAAACAGGGTCTCACACAGGCTGGCCTTGTACTTGTGTAGCCCACGTTGGCCTCAAACTCATGGCGAGCCTCCTGCCTCAGCCTGTGCAGTGCAAAGATTATAGGTGTGCATCACCACACCTAGCAGGGAAGGATTTCTTAATGCAGATCAGCCATATGAAGCTTTTGATGTATTTGCTCATGTTAAACACTAAGCTTACCCAAGTACACCAAGAAGGAAAAGTCATGACACAAAATGAATCTTTGTACAGTATGCCAAGAAAACTATTATATGATCTGGAAATTTAAAAAATTTTTACAAATTAATAGGACAAAGTCAGTCTATATGGTTAGTTTTTTTGTTAGTAAATAATGTACAAAAGAATGTTTCATTAAGGCATATTTGTGCATACATATACTTTGGTCATTTCCACACCATATGATGACTTTATTTTACAGATGAAATGGCAGTTTCCCGGAACATGAAAAGATCTCAGCTTTATTAGTTTAAAAATTTTACAGAGGAGGAAAACATTATGAGGTACAACAACACTGAGTTTTGAAATGTATGTGAAATGGCTAGAGCTCTACTCTGTAGGAGCTCAGCAGGGCAGGCTTTTCGCCACAGCTGGCAGCTGCTGCCGCTGCTGGCTGAGAATGTGGGTATTTCACAGAGAGGTGGTGGGTTCTAAGGGAGCATTTTGTGGGCAAATGTTCCAGATGGAAGTTGCAAGTCTTACGAACCAGCTTTGGAGGCCACATGGAATTCATATGTCCCCACCGACTTTAACCACCAGTTTGTATGCACAATTGTCAGGTGGCTTGTGGCACCCAATGGCTATCCAGTGTTGCCAATGGGATAGTCATGCATGTGTCACTGGTAGTTCAGTCAGCCAGCAGTGAGACATAAAAATTAAGGCCCTGTCATAAACGTGTTAATTCTGGTGATCTAACATATTTTGCTCAGATTCAAGAAGTTATTGTGTCATGGTTCATTAATTGCGACCTTGAGACCACCATATAAATAAAACTTGGGATATTGAGTTAGCTTTGGGCAGGATGTAAGAAAATGACACATGGCAGGGACAGTGTCAGATTGCTTGGTGTCCTAGAGACTTCCTTTTGAGGCAAATGCTGCCCAGGCCATCCAGAACCATGATGGAAGTCATAGAGGACCACCTGGACTTCTCCCCTTGAAAGAAGAGCATCTGGCCCTACTTCTATGTGTTGGTAAGTGCAGAGCTGGGTAGAGTATTACTCCACCCCCTCAGTTGGCTTTAAGCAGTACAAATGGGTCTAGCTGAGGTGCCAAAGAGCCATTGTGTAGTCTTTAAAGCAATGCGACAGATGAGTGATGTCCTGTCTGTAGCTCCCAACTAATATGCATGAGCTAGGCTGAATGACACTGTAGTCTGCTCAGACTGGAACCTTGAGAAAGAAGCTCTGAGGTCTTGGGACATGAAGATGATACACCAAAGCTGAAGCACTGACCCCTGAACAGAAGATGCTTATTTAGTCTGTAATATGCAGATTACTCTTTCTGCGTATCATACTGCAGAGGTGCTATCAGGCCTCCTACCTAATCCAGCTCACAGCACTCATGTATGTACTTCCCACCTTTCCTTTTAGTCACTCATCCCTGAGCCATTCCCCTCTTCACAAATAAAATCTGAGTTTGGCCCTGGGTCAAGGCCTTTGTTCCAGTTGGCCCACTGTTCTGACTGGACTTTATGTTGCCCTTGGTTCCCAGTACTGCAGATATGTCGCAGTGTCTTTGTTCTTGGTGAGAGTCGCACTGAAAGTTGTAGATTGGAATTACTTTACTGGAATTTCCATAACCTTCCCCTGGGGTTACAAATACAAACTCCACTGTACTGTGATGAGGTCTAGGAAGAGCTTCCTATAGAAGCATGGTTTGTCAGGCCTGTGTCTCTTGTGTTACTCAGCTGTGCTTTACAATTTATCCAGCATCCAACCACTTCTCAAAATTCCTGTCCCTCCAAACTGCCGTCTTCTCACAGAGATGATGGGTCTGTACTTTGTCATATCTGGTTTCTGGTCAGGGAACCAAAGATGTCTCATCTCGGGGACAGCACTGCTCCTCTGGTATCCAAGCTGCCCACTGGAATCATAAATTCAGCCCCAATTAAAAAATAAGTTTTAATAAAAGGAAGACACATTATTGCAAAGTAGAAAAGGAAGAGGGAGGAGAGAAGATAACTACCCTGATAAAGAGTCAGTGTGGGGGCTCTGGAAGATGGAGGACCTGTGGGCCCTTTTTCAGCTGCTTTTATGAGATGGGTTGAGAGACTCCTCACTCAGGAACTTGCCATATCTGGATTGGCTTCTAGGCATCTCTGTTTCCTGTTTCTTCCAGTGGCCTATATACAGCTTCTGTTCACTCTTCCTCAATTTAGTTCTTAAGGCCCCATGGGGTGGGTGGCTAGTTGGCAAGGAGTGCTGTATTCATGGTTAACTTATAGGTGAGGGAGCATGTGGATATCCAGTATATAATGACCCTAGAGTGAATGTGTGTGTATATGTACATGGCAGTGCGCAGGTTTGAGTACATGCTGTCAACTCCCCTTGCTTCCCTGTTTTATCCGTGGGGGTGGCTTATCATTTGTTCACTTGCTGTGTCCTGCCTGTCAGCTCTTCTGGCTCTTGGTGCACGTCACTTGACGATTTTCTTTATATGGTTTCTCTTTCCCTACCCCCACCCTTGACCTGCTTCTTACGGGAATTTCTCTTGTCTGTCCGTCCAGTCAGGATTAGCTAGGAGACCCAATGACACCCCTCTTCTATTTTTCCCGTCTAGACCTCTGACCCTACACGTTGACCTTTCAGTTGATCCAGTTATTCTCAGCACGGCAGAACAGGTGTAGACATAGTGTAGACATTACGGAAACACAGAGAATGCTGAAAACACCTCAGGGAGACGCTGTGGGTAAAGCTTCCCAAGCCCTGGTAAAGTTTGTGTTTCTTGTGATCTAAATGTCGGGCGCGTATTAGATTACCCATCAGCTGCAGCTTTGCATTCGGGATCGTGACAAATAATCGTAACTAGGAGTTGCCGCACCCCGGTCCTCCGAAGTGCAGACATCTAACCCGGTTGGTTCTGTCACGTCGCTGTGCCTGCGCGGCGCTCGGCCCGCAGTACACCTTTCGCCTCGCTTCCGGTTCCCGCGCTAGAGCGCCGCGCGCCTCCCGGAAGTCGCCTCGCGCGGTGCCTTCTGGGAAGCGCTGCGGGCGCAGCCCGAGGCATGCCGGGAGCCGTATCCCTCACGCCGGTGCAGGGCAGCCCTCGGCCTGTTCTGGGGAGCCTTGGGGAGCGCGAAGTTCTGGCCCTGTTACTGTGGCCGGCCCGCGGTTGAGACACTCGTAGTCACCTCTGGAGGGCCGCGGGGGAGCCGGCGCCTCTCCGGGTGAGCGGGCGGCGCGGGTTCCGGGAGGCGGGCGGGCAGGCCTGGGCCCGGGGCGGGGTCCCAGCTTTGCAAGGCCCGCAGCCCGGCGGGACCTGCTCCTGTGACTCTCGCAGCTTCCTAGCACGACGGGGATCCTAAGCGCAGTCGTGACCGCCTGCAGAGAACGTCCCTGTGTCCGGCGTCGGTCTAGCATCTTAAGTAAATTAACACTTTCTTGGGCTGCGAGGTTTGAGGTTTTAATTTCAGCTGCACGTATTTGTGGTACATAATGTTTGCGTTCATCGGGCTTTGGCGTGTGCCGTTAACACATCTTAAAACCAAATTTCAGCTGGGTTAGCCCTATGCTGATCCCATTGTACAGATGGAGAAACCGAGGCACAGCGTGACCAAATAATTTGCCAAAATTTGACCGAAGCCTCGGACTGGAACGAAGATTCCTCCCTTGCCCGTGCTAACCGTTGTGTGTTTTGGGCAGGTCGCCAATCTTTGGCGCGGTCTCCCTCGCGTTGTAAAATGTGGGAGCTGTAGCCACGCTTTTCGGAAAAGGCCCAACCTTCACACTCCAGGATATTAAAATCCTTCGATTCTCATCTCTGCATCCTCTGATACACTTGAAGTCAACACTAGATTGTTTACAATACCTGACACTGGTTGTTATGCTGTACAGCGTGAGGAGTAATGCAGGAAACAGAAACCTGCGCATGTTCAGGACAGAGGTTTTTTAGAGTCATGGATGCAGAACCCACAGATTCAGGGGTACAACTGTATTTCCTCTGCAGTTACTGTGAAGACCTGAAGTAATACATAAAGAGCACTGGAGACACCTGGAGGGAAGGCCGCACGTAGAGTTTCTGTGGTGGCTTCCAAGGCAGCTTTTCTGTTGGCTGAGGTGCCAGTCGGGATTGTGCTCCTCTTTTGGGAAGAGGAGCCCATTGCAGTTAGTGACTCTTGCCCTGCTGCTCCAGGCACTGGGCTCTTTCTGAGCAGGTGGGATTCTACTCCTCTTGATGGGCATGCACATGGGGGGACAGGGCTGTATGGGGCTGAGGATGCTGTAAAAGGTAGCACCCACAGGGTCAGTGTTTAAAGAGTGGCAGCTGAACTTGGGTCTGGGTAGATTGTGATCATGTTATCTGGGACAGGTTGTGCAGTGGCCAGATGCAGGGCAAGACAAAGAGGCTGAGAACATTTAGATGCCGGTTACCTCACAGTTCGTGAGGAGGATCCAGTGTTACATTCAGGGCCACTGAGGGAGGGCCAGCACTAGGGAGGGTATGTCACCAGGCAAAGAGAAGGGGAATGGGGCTGGTGTCATGATTGGAATTTTCCCTGGGAGGAAAGCAGGTTTGGGATCAGCTGGCTGTGTTTGAACTGCTTGCCCTAGGATAGTCAAGTTCCTGTGGCTGTCACAGGGTACAGTTGAAACCTGTCAAAGACCCTCGATGCCTGTGGATGGGTCACAGTTTCCTAGAGGCAGCTAACAGGCTCTTAGGAGGATGTTAAAATACTAATTTACAGGAATTAGAAGCCTGATTGATACAGGAAAGGGACGGAGGCTAGCAGACTGGCTTGGCCACTGCTCACTTGATTTGCTCATATATGCACCTGGTGCCTTTGCTGAGATGGGACAGATGTTAGCGTGGTTGGAACCCTCTCTCCAAGCTGTCCCTTAACACCAGAGGTCCTCATGACACTTTTTCCTTTCCAGAATCTCATCAGCACTGTGTTCTTCTTTGACAGAAAAACTGAGAAGGGAGAGATGGCTATGGATTTGTTGCCTGCTCAGGTGACAGTAAGTAGTTTATTTCTTTTACAGATTGTCAAGTGGGTTCAGAGACGGGAACACATTTACATAACTTTCTCCATGTGTTGCTCTAGGGGAAACCAGAGCCTTGAAAGTTTTTCTCAGAATACTGGGCTTATCCAGGCTGCTAAGGAACGTGCCTATTTGTGTCCAAGTCATTCTTTTTTCTTTTCTTTGGTACTGGGCATTGAACCTAGGGATTTGCATACGCTAGGCAAGTGTTTTACCACTAAGTCACATCCGTCACTTTTTAAAAATAGCTTCTTACTGAGTTCCCTAGGCTAACCTTGAAATTGCAGTCCCCCTGCCTCAGCCTCCAGAGTAGTTGGGATTATAGACACATGCCACTGTGTTGGGCCCTGGGTCACTGTTAATTCACCCCAACTCATTTCATGATCAGAATTTGAGTCACTGCTGGATGTATCCTTCCTCTGGTGAGGAGTACAGCCTAGTAAATGAGTTTTTTTGTTTTTTTTAATCGGTACCAGGGATTGAACTCACGACCGCCTGCTTGCAAGGCAGGTGCTTATGCCGCTGAGCTAAATCCCCAGCCCATGAGTATTTTTCTTCACAGAGGAGTTAGTCATACTTGGGGCAAAGACAGGGATGAACTGGAAGATTTCAACAAAAATGTAATTTTTTTTTTTACTTTTTATTTTAAAAAGCAAAATAGGAAGGATAGAAATGATACAGAATTTCAAAAAAGAAAAAAGTAGGGAATTAAACCCTAGTTAATATATTGCACATTGTTATCTCAAAACTAGTTGTTAAGATTACAAAATCTAGATACAAAACTGATCAAACAATGACAGTACAAGCTGTTCTTTTTGAGAACTAAGAAAGATTAGTAGCATAGTTATCTGCATATAATCTTTTCCTTTCTTCCTCCAACAAAAAGTTACTGAGTACCCACCGGGTACAGGATGCTGGCAGAACACAGGATACAAAGAGGAAAGATTTTCCTTTCTTCAAGTAATTTGGATTTTAGGAAGCATGACTCCCTATGCAAGGCATTTCAAGGAAACATCCTAGAAGTGGGGTCATCTGCTGTACTGAAGGGCAAGACTGATACTGGTGGTTAGAGGAGACCCAGGGTGTCCCAGTGGGAGCGTGGCCTGGCTCGGGCTTTGAGCTGGCACTGGGGAGCACAGGGCTGGGCTTTCCTCTGCTTAGTGCTGCTGCGGGGTCAACTGCCCAGTGTTGTCTCTTTTCATCTGAGGGTTGCTTGATCTCCTCATCACATTCTGATTGCTTTTCTCACTGCTACTCCAGACTGCCCTCCTAGCCCCTTCTCTTTTTCCTTTTGAGACCCATTCTCATTACTTGAACCATTATCTTTGGGAGACTCTCTTCAAATCTCTGTCCCTAGGCCTCTCCTAGCATTCCAGCCCACCATTCCCAAATGCTTAGTAGATATTTCCCTGCGGAATTCCCATCCTCTCCCTGGCATCAGTGTCCATCCTTGTTGCCTCCCTTCTGTGGATCAGGGATTCCGCCACACCCCAGAACCTCTTTTCATGGTTGCTTTTGTAGAAGGGACTGGTATAGACCACAGGTTGACACAGACTCAAATGTGAGCCTGGGATGTGACCCTGGGAAGTTACTTCTCTATCTCTGGAGGTGCTTGGATGTCTGTTTGTGACTAAACAAGGTAAGGGCAGCATGAGTGTTTTAAATCACACTGGCTACCCCAGGAAACCTTTTTCCCATGGTTTGCACCTGGCCTACCTTGCTTGACGAGCCCTACTTCATTACACAGAAGGCTTCTGCAGAGAGCTGCATACCCAGAGATTCACCCTGCTGCAGATAAGAGAGGCCTTATCTGCCGAGGTAGGGTTCCCTGTACTGCAACCCTTGGCCTTTGAGGAAAAGCCTCATGCGAGAATGTTCCCTGAAATGTGAGTCCTGTCAGCCCTGTGAACTAAGAAAGTCTTTTTTAACAACCATTGCAAAAAAAAAAAAAAAAAGGGCGGTGGTATCCTATATACTTGCAAGGTTCTTGCATTCTATAAGAAAAGATGTTTATTCTAAATAGACTAGGAATAACCAAGAATTTGTGTCATAAGTCTCAGAGCAACCCCAAAACATGCAATGAGGTCTAACTGAAAAGTCAGTATATAAATTAAAATGGAATCAAAGAATTCAAGGACTGAGGGTGAAGCTCAGTGGTAGAGCACGTGTTTAGTCCTAGGTTTGATGCGTTACACTGCCAAATAAGCAAATAATTAAAGAATTCAAAAGAAAGGCCCACGAACATAAAGGAAAGTAAGTAAGCCCAATAAAAAGGTGTAAAGAAAGGACTAGAAGCCTGCTGTGACACATGCCTGAAATCTCAGCTATTGGGAGCTTGAGGCAGGAGGGTTGCAAGTTTGAGGCCAGCCTGGGGCAACATAGTGAGGCCCTCTCAGACCAAACATTACAAAGGGGTGTGATTTGTGATGCAGATCGGTGGTAGAGCACTGTTAGATCAGTCTCTAGTACTGATGTCTGGAACGAGTTCGTGTTCTCTAACGTTGAAGAATGAGTTTTAGGAACAATGGAGGTTGAAAATGGAATATATTAATTGGAAGAAAGGAAGCTTCTGTCTGAGAGAGAAGAAGGGGTCCTGGGTGGGTTACCAGGGACTCTTTCTTTTCTAGTAAAACCATGAAGTTTTCATGAGGCGAGTTTGAAGTGCGAAAAACTGGGAGCTTGTGAGGTAGAAGGGCATGAGGTGGGACAGAGCTGTGGTCAGCCAATAAGTTAATTGTTCAGGTAAAATTGACCAAATCAGGGACAGATGGGGAAGCCAGCATTCTTCACACACCAGTGCTCTTCCCATAGCAGGTTGGGATGTAGCCTCCTGGCTTCTCCAGGTGAGCCATCATTAATCTGTAAGGATTATATTTAACGCTGTGGTTGCATTTGTTTTGCTTTCTGTCTTAAGATCTGGCCCACAGGAGGGATGTGTGTCTCCTCCAAGGTCATCAGACATCTGGTCTGTGTCAGATTCTTCACGGGCTCAGCCCTGTCTTGACTGTAATACTTCTAACTCAGCGGCCTGTAACGGTACCACGGAAGGAAAACAAAGGGGCAGGAAGGAAGGAACGAGTGGAAGATTGTTTTTCTGCTTTTCTCCACAAATATCAAAGAATAATCTGGGCAACAGTTTGTATTCTTCTGGATAGTTTTTGTAAATGTGTGTGTGTGTGTGTGCACGCACCCATGTACAGCATTTTTTAACACATAGAGATTGTCTTATAGCTTTCCATATGAATCAATAACCTATTAATATCAAATTCCAATGTCAGTGTACAAATTTCCTTATTCTTTTACAGGCTGCATAGCATTTTATGTAATGATTGTACTATACTTTGCTTCTCCATTTGCTTTTTTTTTTTGTCTCTTTGACACAGGGTCTTTCTGTGCGGTTTGGACTAGCCTTCAACTCACTTTGTAGCCCAGGCTGGTCTCCTCCTCAGCCTCCTAAATGCTGGGATTATAGATGCCACACACCCAGCTTCCGTTTGCTGCTTTTTTTTTTTTGGTGCTGGAGATCAAATTCACGACCTTGTGCTTGCCAGGCAGGCACTTGTGCCCCTGAGCTGTTTCCTTGGCCCTCCCTTTGCTGTTTGATAGACATGCAGGTTGTCTTCATTTTTCATCACTGTGTTAGTTTCCTGCTGGTGCTGTAACAGTTTACCACAAACACAGTAGCTTGAAACAGCATCCATTCCCTTAGAGTTGCAGAAGTCTGAGGTCTGAAATTCTTTCACTGGTGTGAGCTCCCGCTGTCAGCAGGGCTGGTTCCTTCTGGAGACTGAGGGGGAAAGTGGTTCCCTGTGCTTTTCACAGCCAGTGACTGCCTGATTTTCTTGGCTTTCATGCCTCTTCAGAGCACGTTCTCTCAGTCCCTGCTGCGTCATCCGTCACCTTCACTTCCACGCAAGACTCATGTGGTCCTTCTTACAAGGACATTGTGCCCACCTGGACGACCATCTGCTGTGCTGTTCTCATCTCCAGATCCTTGTAACAGATCTCAGAGTCCCTTTGGTCATTCCTGTAACCTTTACCGGTTTGGTGTTCAGCCATTAAACAAAAAATAATGTTGCAGTAGATTTCCTTGAGCAGGTATCTCTGCCAGCTTGTGTGATTATTTCTTGTGTAGAATCCCATAAGTGCAAGGCTGAAGCGATGTGCCTCTTATACTTTCATAGATTCCCAGCAAAATGCCCCAAAAGCATTATGCCATTTTGATTCTTTTAGCTCTTTTGTTTCACTGAAGAGTTGCCATCGGCCCTGCTTGTGCCTTCTCTATAGCCATACAGGTTTTGTGGTTCTTTAGGTTTTCATAGTCAGTGAACAAACGCCTGTCTGACAGTGTCATTTCGAGGTCTGTCTGAATTCAAATCCAGCCTTGACTTTTCTAGACCTGTTTGTTTATTGCAAAATTGGTTAATCATAGTGTCTTCCTCACAGGATTTTTAAAGACTTAAAAAAGATATTACATACACAATTTCTGTTATAGTCCTTACTGAATTCATTCAGCATTAGTTAATGCTATTTTTACTATTTGCTGAATGTCTCAGAAATTATTTCTATTCAGCCGGTAGGATTTTTTTATTTTTTAGCATTTCTCTAAGCCTGTTCTGATTCTCATACATAATTCGGGTTTGGGGTAGAAGGGTGACATCCACAGTCACTTTGAAAGCTTGAAGGCTGAAATTTTAATTCCCTCTTGGCACAGACCTTGCCAAATTTTCCCTGTCCCTACAGCGTGTGGCACTTATCTTTGCTCCCTGTGAGTATTCAATACATACTCATTTAATTAAATAGTTAATTTTTAAAAATTATATAAATAGTGTGAAAAATCTTGAGACATTTTCAGAACTGCGTGCCAGCACCCTGGTGTTCTGGTCTCTCTGAGCTTCATTTGGAAGAACCTGCCCCTGGCCGAGCAGGACCCGCTTTGCCGTTTCAGGAGTCGGTGACCTTCAGGGATGTGGCTGTGCATTTCAGCCGGGACGAGTGGCTGCAGCTGGACCCTGCTCAGAGACGCTTGTACCGGGAGGTGATGCTGGAGAACTACAACAACCTGCTGTCCCTGGGTGAGGAGCTGCCCTCCGGGGTTCACCTTTGCATGGCCCATTCTGAGCGCAGAGCCTCCGGCTTGCACCCTGCTGGGAGACCCACACCTCTGTCGAGTTGAAAGGGCCCATGCTCATTGCAGTGTTCTTCATGTTACCCTTCTCGCTTCCTCCTGCCCTTCCTCGTACCCCACTCCAGTACATCTTGCTTCATAAAGCAGACTGCTGATTAGATCCCAGGTTAGATCCTGAAATCACAGAGGTCATTAGATGTTGAAAGCTGTAATGGGACTGCCAGGGCCCAGTGTTGCTCTATCCCTGCTTCTCACCTACCCCTGGGAACTCTGGTGCCCCTCAGGGGCTGTGCTGCCACCCCCCAGCTCCCTAGGCTGCTGCCTTGCCCTAGCGGTTCAGGCAGTGACAGACCTGGTCCCCCTCGGGGGTGTGTGTGTGTGTGCGCGCGCGTGTGCGCGTGTGTGCATGCTGTGCTTCTGTGTCCTGCTGTAGGCTGCCACCCTGCCCTGGCTGTTCAGGCAGGGCCTGACCAGTTCTTTGTGGAGCTGCTCTTTGTGCTTTTTGTTCAGACCCTATTTCCTTCCTTGTGATCAGGGATTCCAGTTCCAACACCTCCAGGGATTTGCTGGTTGCAGCAAGGAGAAGATCCCTACACGGAGGAAAGAGAAAAGCCTCCAGACACCTGCCCAGGTGAGTGAATGAGACCCTAACCCTGGCCCAGGGACTCTGCAGATGAGCGAGGTAGGAGGAGGTGTGGTCTGGCGAGATGCTCAAGTCCAGCTGTGTTGTTTTTAGGTTGCATGGTGTATTGAAGATCTTACAAATGCTTAATTGCTGTTACCTAATACTCTGTTTTCAGTTGTAAAGAAAGGTTTAACCCAGAGTGCCTTAAAAACGGCTCAAGCTAAATCTTTCTGCCTGCTATCACAGCTGAGCTTGGAGCTTGGATATATTCTAGAACTTCAAGATAAATTGAATTCATGGGTTTTTTTGTTTTTCTTTTTAGAGAAAAAAAGCAAAAAGGGTAGAAATAATAGAGAATTTCGAAATAATAACAGTAAGAAATCACTAGTTGATAAATTACATATTGTTATCTTAGAAGTAGTTGTTCAAGTTACAAAGTCAGCATAAAAAATGAAAAGACAGTAGCAGCATAAACTATGCTATGTGAGGAACTAACAGAAACTTAGTGTGGTTTTCTATCTTGCACACTTAAACATACATAGAGTTACATGTGTGTACCTGCAAGTTGTTCTTCCCTTTCGAGTACTTTCCCTTTCATTATTACAATATCTTATACATTTTGGACCTTACTATTCTTTCAGTTTTTTATTATTTTTACAATAGAGAGAAAATGCGATATTTACAAATGTGAGTCTGATTTATTTCACTTATGAGGATAGTCTCAAGTTGCCTCCATTTACCTATAAGAGCTTCAAGATTGCCCTTTTTATAGCTGAGTAAATCCATTCCACATCTTTTTCATCCATTCTGCAGTTGATGAGCATTTTGGTTGTTTCCAAGATTTAGCTATTACAAATTGTGCTGCTATAAACATGGGTGCACATATATCAGTGTGATGTGACTTTTTCAGTTTTTCTGGGAAAATACTCAGGAGGGGAATAGCTGGATTGAATGGAACTTCCAATCCTAGTTTTTTGAGGAATGTCCACACTGATTTCCACCGTGGCTGCACCAGTCTATCCTCCCACAAACAGTGGAGAAGGGTTCCTTTCTCCCCACAGCCTTGCTAATGTTTGTTATCAGTTGATTTCTTGATGGCAGCCATTCTTTCTGGAGTGAGATGAAATCTCACTCCAGAAATTTGCATTTCTCGAATGGCCTGTAATGGTGAACATGTCTTCATGTATTTATTTGCCATTTGTATATCTTCATCTGAGAACGTGTTCATCTGAGATGCCCATTTTTGCAGAGGGTCCTTGAGTTTGGAGGACTTGATGTTTTTCAATTCTTTGTATGTTCTGTATATAAGTCATTTGTCTGAGGGGTTGCTGGCTAAAATTCTTTCCCATTCTGTGGGCTTTTGTTTCACTTTGTTGTCTTTTGAAGTGCAGAAACTTTTTAATAATGTGAGATCCCAATTGTTGTTTCTTCGTAGTGTTTCCCGTGTGGTTTGCATTTTGTTCATGAATTCTCTGCCTACGCCTATGTCTCCAATGTTTCTACCTACCTTGTCTTCTAGTAGATTTAGCGTTTCTGTTTTAATATTTAGATCTTTGACCCATTTTGACTTTAGTTTAGTGCATGGTGATATGCATGGATCTAGTTTCAGTCTTTGACATATGGAAAGCCAATTTTTCCAACACCATTTATTAAAGAGGTTATCTTTCAGTGAACATGTTTAGCCCCTTTGTCAAATGTAAGGTGGCTGAGTGTCTTTGTAGTAGTGTTTGTGTCTTCTAATCTATTCCATTGATCCTCAGGTCTATTTCTTTGCCAGTACCATGTTGATTTTATCATGGTAGCTGGTGGTATAATGTCAGGTCAGGAATTGAGACGCTTCCTGTCTCGCCTTTATTGCCCAGTATTATCTTTGCTATTCTAGGTTTCTTCGGTTTCCAAATGAATTTTAGGAATGTTTTCTCTAGATCTGTAAGATATGTCAATGGTATTTGATTGCCTTAAATCTGTATAACAGTTTTGGGAGTATGGCCATTTTCACAATGCTGGTTTTTCCTAGCCAAGAGTAAGGAATATCCTTCCATTTTCTAATATCCTCTTCAGTCTCCTTTTTTGGTGTAACATAATTTTCAGTGTATAGGTCTTTTACATTCTTGGTTAGGTTGATTCCTAAGTATTTCATTTTTTTAAATGCTATTGTGAAAGGCGGTATTTCCATAATTTCTCTCTCAATGAGTTTTTTGTTTGTGTACAGGAATGCTATTGATTTTTGAGTGTTGACTTTGTATCCAGCTACACTGCGGAATTTGTTTATTACCTCTAGTAGTCTTTTGATGGAGTTTTTAGGGTCTTCTATATAGACTATCATGTCATCTGAAAATAGTGATAATTTAACTTCTTCCTTCCCTATCTTTATTCTTTTTATTTCTCTTTCTTATCTGAGTCTCTGGTTAATGTTTCCAGAACTATATTGAATAGGAGTGGTGATAATGGGTATTGGGTTATTCAAAATTGTTGTATCTTTTTGATTGAGCTTTGACAGGTCATATGTTTCTAGAAATCTGTCCATTCCCTCTGTTTTCCACCCTATGTGAATAAAGATTTCCAAAGTAGAAATTCATGACCTTTTGAATTTCCATGAGATCTGTATTAATTCCTCTGTTTTCAGTCCTTATTGCATGAATTTGAGTTTTTTCTTTTTCTTGATAAGGTTTGCTAGAGTTTTATCAGTTTTGTTTATTCTCTCAAAAAACCAGCTATTTGATTCATTAATTTTTGTATTGTGTTTTTAGTCTCAGTTGCATTAATTTTTGCTCTGATTTTTATTGTTTCCTCTTTCCTATGAGCTTTGGGTTTTACTTGCTCTTTTTCTACAAGCTTGAGATGTAGCATTAGGTTGTTTATTTGTGCTCGTTCTGTTTTCTTGATGTGACAGTTTATTATTATATATTTCCCTCTTAGGACTGCTTTCATTGTGTCTCACAGGTTTTGATATGTTGCATTTGCATTTGCATTGAATTGTAGGTATTGCTTAATTTCTTCTTTAATTTCATTGATTTTTCAGGAGGTTGTTATTTAATTTCCATGTATTCATGCAGGTTTTGCAATTTCCTTTGTCATTAATTTCCAGTTTCAGTACAGTATGGTCAGATAATATGCCTGGGATAACTTCAACACCTTTGCATTTACTTAAGAATGTTCTATGGTCTGTAATATATGGTCTATTTTGGAGAATGTCCCATGCACAGCTGGGTTGGGTGGAACACTCTTCAAACTCTACCAAGTCTATTTGCTCACAGGATTGATTCCGTTCTGTTTTTTCTTTGCCAACTTTTTGTCTAATCTGTCTCTTTCTGACAATGGTGTATTAGGGTCCTTTATTACAATTATGGTGTTGCTTGTTTGGTTTTTCATATCTATTAGTATTTGTCTTATATAGTTGGGTTCTTCTGTATTTAGTGCATATATGTGTATGATTGTTAGCTCTTTTTCGTGAATTATTCCCTTGACAAGTATATGGTGACCTTCTTTATCTCCTTTGATCATTTTTGGTTTGAAATTCACCTTGTTTGCAAATAGAATAGCTACCCCTGCTTTTTTCTGGGTTCTTGTCACCTGAAATACTGTTTTTCATCCTTTGACTTTTAGTCTATGAGTTTCCTTTTGAGTCAGATGTGTTTGTTGTATACAGCATATTGTTGGATCCTGTTTCTTGATTCATTCTGTCAACCTATTTCTTTTAATAGATGAGCTGAGACCATTTTTCATTGATGAATATAACTGATATATACTTGTTCGACTTTGTCATGTTGTTTTCCTGCTTTTCCCCCTGGTTTAATTGCTTGCCCTGTCTGGTGGTTGTTTCTATTGTTGTTCTGGGAATTGTAATCATTTTTATGTCTGTCTATATGTCTTTCAGGACTCTTTCTTGGGTTGGTTAAGTGGACATGAATTTCTTCAGTTGTTCTTTGTCATGGGAGTATTTTATTTCTCCATTAAATGTCAAAGAAAGTTTTGCAGAGCACATCAATCTGGGCCAAAAGTTGTTTTCTTTCAGGGCTTGATATACTTCACTCTAGGCTTGTCTTAACTTCAGGGTTTGTGTTGAAAAGTCTGCTGTGATTCTAACAGGTTTTACTTGATAGGTGAGTTGTGTCTTTTTTCCAATAGTTTTTAGTATTCTGTTTTTATGCTGTATGTCTGGGATCTTAATTATTATATGTCTGGGTATAGATTTATTTTGGTTGTGACTTTTTGGTGTTCTGTATGCCCCACTTAACTATATCAGATTCTTTCTCCATGTTTGGGAAATTTTCTGTTATTACTTCTGTAAATAGTTTACCAATGTCATTTGCATTGACTCCTGCATCTTCATTGATGCCGATTAGTCTTATATTGTTTCTCTTTGCATCATCTTGTAGCTGTTGAATTGTTATTTTATGCTGCCTTGTTATTTTTAAAAGTTCTATCCTTTCATGATCACAAACTGCAATCCTGTCCTTAAGGTCTGAAATTCTATCCTCAGCTTCATTTAAACAGTTTTGCTAGCTTTAAATAGAATTTTTTATTTCTTGGATATCTCTTTGAATTTGTTTCATGCATTCTACTTCTTTTCTATATCGTTCATTCAAGGTTTCCATCATCTCCCCATGCTCCTGTACTTCTTTTGTTTCTGTCTTCTTTAGCAATGCTGAGTAACTCCTTTATTAAGGTTGTTATTTCTGTCTTTACATGAGAAATTATTTCTAATCTGATTTCCTCTACAGCCTCATAGATTTGTTTCTTTATTTCATTTACTATCTTTTCAGACATTTCAAGTGTGTGACTTAATTTCCTCTATTTCATTGTCTCCTCTACTTGCTCCTGATGGACTAGATGCTTGAGTTTTCATTTTGTAATTTTCACCTTTCAGGCTAATATTTGGTCTTTTGGTCCAACTAGTCTCAACTATTGGTAGTGCTTATCTTCGGGTCCTACTGTGTGGTTGATGTTTGTCCAGTTGCTGAGTACCATAATGAAGAGGAGGGCCAGTCATCTGAATTCCTCCT